TTGGAAAGTGAGGTGGCTGAGTGGGCTAACTCGTTGGCAAAACACTCGTTGTCCGGCAATCAACCACGTGATAAACCGAAATTTACCTGTTACAAAATAATTCGTATCTCGGTGCCGGGGGAGAAGGATTTTTAACTATATTATGAATCTCTGAACCAGTAGAAATTCCCACATTACCTACAAGGCGAGGTAAGAGTGAACAATATTTTTTTTTTTAAGTAAGTGTAAAAATAAACATTCAGTTAGTTTTCAGTTGTTAATTTTTTAAATATTAGTAAGTGTTGATCTGATACTTCAGATGTTTATATAGGTAGGATACGTAGGATCCTTGGGAATCGACCAAAATTATTAGTCATAATCATGGTCCGGAATACAATTTAAATGGTGTATATGAGAGTTTTAGTTTATTTACTAGACATGGTTCTTCAACCGCTATGGAAAAGTAAAAACATATTTATGTAATTACTAATAAATATTATGACTAATATGTTTTTTATTGAGTAACAATTCTGTTGGACCGCAGGGTGAGGTCACGCCGTATTAAAAGAATTACTACTTAAAAGTAAAATCGAAATCGCAGATTTTATGAAAAAGTCATATAAATCAGTTGGAAACTGGTAAGTTTATGTATTAATCATTTTTCCTGGCACAAAAAAAAAGTTCTTACTTTCTAGATGTTTAAAAGGTAATTTGCAGTAAATGAATGAGCAAAATTGTCTTCACATGCGATAGAGCTGAATGGATTTCAACCTTCAAAAGCTAAAGATTTCTAAATGAATTCATGAAATTGTTTTCTGGTTACTGTATAATAATTTTAAATTTGTCATCAGAAAATGCATCTTTTAGGACTAACGGTTCATGTGTCTTTTGTTTATTCCATTAAATACTTTTTTTAATTTTTTATAGAGTAATGGATTAATTATCACTTCTTCTAAATCATCGGAATGAATTGATAAACAAATCAGTAATCCCACCTATTTGAAGGTCCGCAGTTAGTGAAAAGTGGCGATCTACTTTTACTAAGTAGGACCACTCCGTTCAGTAGACTTAATTTCAATTTCCTGTATTTAATCTTTCATTGGTGACATCCATTCACTAAGCTGTGTCACAACTTACAGTGACGGCTTTAGACACTTGGCTTTCCCAGGAAATGACTACATGAGCTCCAATCATCCTCCTCGTAAAAATAAAAATATAATTAAAGGGAAGACAATAAGATGCATGTGAAGAACGTTTCATATTACTTACATTCACCAAATATAAGGGAACGGAGTAGATTTATATCCACATGGAAGGATAAAAAATTGTTTGCCTTCATAATGAGAAATTTCAAATTATTTTTCACGTTTTAGATATGCTGAAAAAATTGGTCTGTCCATATCATTGTAGTCAAAGCAACGCGATTCATTGATACGATGATTTCTGCCTCGTTAAAAATATCGAGCACTTAATCTTCCTAAGAACTCAAGGAAAATAAGTAGTTGAGAATGAAAAACAAATTCGTCTTAAGGAGCCGAGTTGGCAGTGAGCCAGCAAGGATTTGCATCGCAAGCCACGGGCATACAATGGGACACACCTAGGCGATTCTTCCATCGCAACAAAGGAGCCCCAACAAAGGGTCTTATTCACGGTCTTTTAATAATTGTCCCAGTGATAATGTCCATTGTGTTGCGGGGTAATGTTACAACTTGCTATTAGTCCTCTTCACGGATAGTCGTTTCCTTTAACTGGGTCAATTTAACTAGGCAGGAAATAGAGGTGGTGTTAGTGAGAAAGACTGCGGTCCATTCATGCACTTTGGTTCATTCTTTTTTTTTTCTGCTTTATTTTTAGATATAAAAATTAAAAGACGTCGGCAATTGAGAAATTACCTACGGCGACTGAGATGTTAGCGACAAACATCTATTGATAAATGGAATAGATGGACACTACACACATTAAATTTCGTTTAACAAAGCACAAATATATCTAAATGAGGTTGACGTATAAATAATACAATTCTGAAATATAAAAGAAACAACAAAAAATGTATTGAAAATAAATTGCAAATTATAAACTGTTAATTAATTCAACAAGAAAATAATGTTAAACTGCATTATGAAAAAAGAAAAAAAATATATACACAAACAATAAATAAATATTTGGAAAATGTCCTAGGGCATTGATTCAGATAAGCTGGCTGAGATTCAGCTGATATCGCAAATGACATACGTTGCATACAAAATGGCAGGAGTATCTGAGTTGATCATTGCCCCTTACGCTCGTAGGAAATGTGCTTTTACAAACTTATAGGAAAAAATGAAGTGGCTGAAAACATATACCCGCACACACTAAAACACGCACACGCACGCACATACAATCACACACGATACTATACAAGATGTAACTGAGTTAAAAGCACATGTGTTTCACAAAATATAAGAACATAATTTATAAACAAAATAATGATAACTAAATTAAATAACACAGCATTTTATATTGAATGTAAACTTTTTTTTTTCCTGTTCTTCTCTACCTCGCCTTTTAGGCTATACGGGATTTTCCCGGACCAGAGGGTGAGGGCGGGGAATTTAAAATCCCCGTTGGCACCGGGACGCGAACTCGTGACTATTTTCATATCATAGAATCATATATCCGGTTGCCGGGCAACGGCGGTGCAGTAAACACGCGTTAGCCCATTCGGCTAATTGAATGTAAACTTATTTATTACTTATTTTCGGTGTTCCAACGTGGGATACCCCTTCAAGTTAGAGCAGAGCTCCACACATCTCTATCCTCCCAGTCACCCTCCTGTAAATCTCGGTCGGCCATCTCTTCTCGGACTCCTTCCATCCACGTGGTTCTGGGTCGTCCTCACCTACGCTTTCCGGGTGGCTGCCATTCCAGGACACTGTTCGGCCAATGCTCTTCCGACATTCTCCTGCAGTGCCCATACCACCTCAATTGCCGTTTCCCGATCCTCTCAGAGACAGTCTCCTCTACACCTATTCTCTGTCTCACCACTTCATTTCTCCCTGTCCATACTTGTTAATTGTAGACACTTTCTTCAGAAATCCATTTCTACAGACCGAATTTTGGCATACAAGCCAGCATTCATCGATCATACCTCACATCCGTAGGTTAATATGAACTCGACAATAGCCGTGAAGATACGCCGCTGGTTCGCGCTTGAAATAGCGTCGTTCCAGAGAACAGGATGCTGCGTTCTAGTTGATTTCCAAATAGGACCCGAGGTATTTAATTGCCTTTACTCTTCTGCACACCTGTTCACCTATGCGTAGATCGTCTTCCTTATCTCCCAGTACCATATACTCAGTCTTTTGTAAGTTTTGAAAGAAAACAAATATATAATAAAAATAAATTTTAATTTCGATGAAGTATAACCTGTATGTTCCTTACGTGAAGTATGTTCCGTCACCTGTGCATAACCTCCTAAGTATATGTAATCACAAACATAAGCAATCTAGTGTTGTTGGCTGCAACAAAAGAATTTGGTTTTTAAACTTAGTAGTGATTTTTAATAGTTTTCCGATTCTTATATTACAATTTTTTTTTTTCCTAGCCCCCAGGAATTTCTTGATTACAAAATACAATATATATATATATATATATATATATATATATATATATATATATATATATATATATAAATGTATATATACATAAATTTACAATTTCCTTTTATTACCCAAGGGCATTTTAAGGTAAGAGGGCTATGCACGCTGCATGCGATCTTTGCATCTGTGACCAGAGGCCTTTTATTATACCACTGGGCGTGGAGGGCCGCCCTGCATTAATATATTACAAATAAAATGTACATGTTTGTTATATTTGCCCAACTGAAGGCTCTGTTAATTAATTTTGCGGGATTGGACTGCCAAAGTACCCATGCACGCTTGATCGGTGTTTAAATATTTGAAGAATATATTATTATAATCTTCATGTATTATTAATATTGCAATTGGTTATAGGTTATATTGTAACATATTTTAATGGGTCCTTTATAAATTGTAATTGTTAATAGAACTCATGTTCATGTTTTGTTCTTTTATTATTTTTGAACTGTGTGAAAAGAAACATTTATATGTAATATATTTATAAATTCAATTTATTGCTAGATATTTTTAGTTGTGAATTAATTTGAAATTGTAAAAAACAATAATAACATTTAACTAGCGATAATGATTAAAATGTACGATGTATTAGAGCTAACGGACGGGAGGTCCTTCTCTGTCAAAGGTTGAATTGTAAATGACTAGTGGTATGGTGTTTTGGAGGATGCGCGTGGCGCCCTCTAGGCGTTGTTCTAATGAACTATTTTATTCATTTATGCAAGTCATTGCTTTTCTAATAATGATTAATAATTTTAGTAGCGCAACCTGTTAATTGCCTAGTGAACTATATATTTCATTTTAAAACTATTTATTATTTCCTTTTGTAATTAATGCTTTTGTAAATAACTAATGTTTGTAATATTTTTAAAATAAGTATTCATGAAATATAATTAAATAAAAATAAAAGGAGTTTGGACTTAGAGATCTCAGGGCCTAATTAAAATAATTGTTACTAGTGTTGTCTCTCACAGGTCTGAGGACTCACTATCAGTATAAATAGCAGCCTGGCCCCTAGGGCAGGCACTCTCTCCCGAGTCACTACCTTCTCACATAGGCTCCTGGTATCTCTCTGTCTGACAGTTTGAAACCAGACCAATGTGTTATTTTTTGGTTTTACCTTCCTCCTTCTCTTTTCTCTCCTAACCTACCTCCTCTCTCCTTTCGTAGGAATAACTTGGTTGGCCCTTGTTTTCCTACAGTCCCCCTTGCATCTTCCAGGTTGTCCCTGGGAGTGTAGGGTTACCTATCCTCGCAATGTCAGGGGATTGCCTCCTCGGTTGCAGAGCCCTGGATGTGTAGGGGTTGTCCCCCTATCATTCTTGGCGGTCTTACCTTATCCTATCCTCGCAACGTCAGGGGATTGCCTCCTCGGTTGCAGAGCCCTGGATGTGTAGGGGTTGTCCCCCTATCATTCTTGGCGGTCTTACCTTATCCTATCCTCGCAACGTCAGGGGATTGCCTCCTCGGTTGCAGAGCCCTGGATGTGTAGGGGTTGTCCCCCTATCATTCTTGGCGGTCTTACCTTATAACCTTATCCTTCTCATCCTGTCTAAGCTGGTACATCCCATTCTTACAAACTTAAATAGATACACGAATACCAGGTTAATTGACTAACAGAAAGATTAAAGGTTAGAAGGACAGATTTCAGATTTTAAAAGATAAACGCCGGCAATAATAGACAGACAGACAGAGAGATAAATAAAATAAAAACGAGATAAAAATAAAAAATATTACAATATATTGTGGTTTTGTCAATAAAGGCAATCAAAAAATTCTTTGTTATTATTATTTAATTAAATGAATATAACCGTAAGCCCAGAAAGTAAGGTGCAATTTTCATCTGATTCACTCAATAATGGCTAAAAAGCCTCTTTCAGTTTTCTTTTAAAATTTTGGACTATGGGAGCTGAAAAAGTAAGGATATAAATATGAACGTGAGTTGTCTTTATCCATATTTAAACTTATTATATTCGCAATTCAAATTTAGACTTAACGTGTTTCAAAACACATCTGCATTAAAGAGTTCTATTAAAAATTACTGATTTTGTTAGATAAAGACCAGAGCACCTGTGGCTCAACCTCCCATTTCGCCGTATTTGAAATATTTCCAAAGTTTCAGAAAAACCTTAACGAAATTCAGTTCAGTTTACAAATAATTCAGAAATATAATCGAGATTGATTTAATAACTTTATTTATCAATACACTTTTTAGATATTTTAATAATCGAAACAGAATTCTTTATATTACAAGAGAGTGAGAGAAAAAGATTGAATACATTTTTTTAAAAATGGTCTTGGATAGTACTTTATATATTTAATGTCAAAATCTATCGCAGACTTCTTCGTTAGGTAACGGAAATGCCGAAGATTATTCTAACCTATTTAATATGATTACTTTTTTCGACCCTGAAAAGAAAACAAATTCTGTTCATCCTAATTTAATCCATCCTAATTAAGATTAGATATCTAAGTAATATTTCAGAATTGATATTGTTGCTCTTCGGTTCTATAAACATATTATGATAAACTTTCTAATTCGATTCAAGTTTAGTGTATATGCCATTATCATTAGAAATGTCAAAAAGATCTTCAAGAGCTCTCACCCAGAGACAAAAATAAAATTACACAACTTTTATGTTGGACTTTTTTCAAAGATTCTTCAGACATTTTAGAATTACTTTCATGATTCTGAACAAAAAAATACGATCATAGAAATTTTTTATCGTTAAAATAATCACACAATTCCTTCAAGTTACTAGTGTCATATTTTTGTAGTAATGCCGTTCTTATTGTAGTAATATCTTAAAAATTAGCATTCGATTTAATAATATTCCAGGAGGTCTCTGAAACAAACATTATACATTACGTCTTTTATGAATATTTTTTTAAGAGTTCTACTTTCTTCCAAGGTTTGGTGGCTGATAAGCGGAATGTTCCTCTTATCTCTATCCAAATGTTCCTGAGTTTTTCCTATTTCCTTCTTTGGCCACGCAATTATGGCATATATGAATGGTAACATTCATGAAAAAATATTGTTCTCAATATTGTGCAATAAATAATCAAGAAAGCAAAAATAAAACGTAAAGCTATCTTTTAGGTGTTTTGAGTGAAAAAATAAAATAAATACAGATAACACGAGGTTTGAAAATAACGGTGAGTTCCAAGAAAAATATTGACCATGTTTTTGAGTAACGGGGTATACTCGCTTTTCCATTACAATTAGTGTTGTTCAAAATCGGTCTTGGTCTTGCAAAGTGCAAGACCAAGACAAGTAAAAAGATAGTGTTTTTGTGATTAAAAATTAAGGAAATATAGCTACTTATACTAGACATTTTAGTTGCTATGTTTAAAGAATTTGTAGAACCAATATGCTTTTGCATTTAAATCTTCCAATTTTTCATTGATGGTTTACTTTGATTTCTTCATTTTGAAAAATGACAGAAATATCTCTCTGTAGTATTTAGTGGTATGATTCTTTAAAAGGTTATTAAATTTCTGACAAAACTGCTACAAAATCGTCTAAATCGAGCCGGTTTTAGCAACGATACGGTGTTTTGAAATCTATACACTGATTTTAATAATTGTTGACTTGCCCCTTTACATTTGCTTTAGTTCTTACAAAGAAATCGTACTCTAATGATTTCTATGACCTGTTATTAGGAAAATAAGTCTAATTCAATTGTGCTATTTATAATGAGCATGTTTAAAATCGGAAGGAAAGTCATGTGTTTGGGCACTCCAGATTTTTTATTTACACAATTGGAGAAATCGTATAGATTGTCTTTACTCTACAACTTTTCCATTCCAAGGTGGTGGGTTTTCTATAATATAATATCTTCATTGCCAAGTCTTTAATATATTGTTAAGTTAATTTTATTAATTTGGTTGGAATCCACTATCTTTATGTCACTAAAATATCTACATGTACCTATTCTGTAACATTTTCCTAAGATCTAAAGTAAGATGTTTAATAAATAGCAATAAGCAAATAGGTAACTACAAAACTCTTGGGCAAGACCGATATTCGTCTTGGTCTTGCATTTGGGCAACACTACTTATAAACTATGAGCTACGACTTAAAGCTAGTAATCGCTTTAAATTCTAAATAATCCTTATCTGAAAACAAAACTTCTGTTCAACACAAAAACTGCTTTCTAAGCGAAAATTAAAATTTAAATTTAAATTTAAAGAGGCAAATGTTGACAGTTTATTTAACAGAAGAACATACGGCTGATATTTTGATATGTCAAGAATATGTCCCCAAGAGAGAATTGACTTTGACCGACGATGTTCTCGGTTGTTTTGAAAACTGACGCGATAATCTTATAAAACTAGTCCAGTTGGATGAGGAAAAAAATCGAATAGTCGGTTTGTTTTCGGTGTTTATGTTTTATGGAATGGTGGGATATGAATTTGATGTTCCCAAACGAAATTTTCTACTGTGTTTCAAGATATATGAAAAAAAACATTTTTTTTTTTTTTGTTTTTCGGAAATGACTATCGAAACTATGCATTTTATCAAAATTATTATTATATACAAAGTTATAGTAGATAAAATTTACTATCAATTCAATACGTATCTTTCTGATGTAGGCCCAAGGTTTAAGGAATGAGAGAATGCTGACTGTTCGCTTATTTCACAAGAAATATCGGATTTTCTCCCAAAATTCATAATCTATGTATCCCTCGAAGAAATTCATTATGATCAATTTGAAAGAACATTAAATTTCCTATGTAAAGTGTGACACATGAAATGTCTACAAAATATTTTTGTATTTTTTAAAGAACATTCTAATCTCTCTTGTTACATAATGGCTTGTTTCAATTATCTGATGTTTCCAATTAAGAGGTAATACATTTATTTTATTTTCTCTTAAATATATGTATGTTTTCGCACATCTTTTTTCTATTTAGGTTTAAATCTGAAATACCTTACAATAAAAATAATAATTTAATTTTGACAAAAGAAATTAATAACCAAGAAATTGTAGTAAAAATAAATCTGAAAAAAAAAAACATTTTATCACCAAGCTGTTTAGTAACTTAACAAGTTTCCAAGGAAATGACTTTTAATGAGACTATAAAAAATTTTCATTAAAAGGCAATTAATTGCACCCATGGAAAAAAAGTTGAAAGAAACACTCATTAATTTAAATGACGGGAAAATTAAGTCTGCTCTAATATGATTAAGCCAAGTTCTCCTATTATGAAAAACTCATTGACGCTTGAAAACGAAATAAGGGAGAAATGAGTTGTAATTCCAATTATATCAATACCCTGGGCTTAAAGCAACTTCAATCAAGATTAATAACTTTCCCAAATGATTTATTTAAGAGTTCAACAGGACCGGTAAACTTCATTATTCATTATATCCCTAGAGAAAAAATGTAAACAACTTTTTCAATGTTATGCAATCACTTTAATGTTACACAATAAAAATTGTAAGTCTTTTCGAAATAAACAAATAAGTTTATTGTTTGGTTTTTGTTTTAAATAAATACTTACTGGATGTTAAATATATAAAAACAATCTTTCAAATACATTCATTTATTTATAAAAACGGTCTCATGATTGTATTGCTATTGACATTTTTGGGCTTTAATGAATAGATTTTATTCGAATAATTTATTCAATTAATTTTCAAACACTGATATTTTTGTGATTGACGATATTTAGTGTAACGAAAAGTTCTGATTTATCTATTGAATTATTCAGATTCTTTTATGAAAAAAATATTGAATGAAACATCACCGAATAAAGATTTATTCAAAGAAAATATTCAATTAAAAGACATTTATTCAGGTATTAATCATTCCAAAATTAAATTTAAATTTTCATTTTTTTTTCCAAATAGGAGTCCATCATGTTATGAAGAGAAACTTTCTCTACAAAACAATCGATATTAAGATTGCAATATCGAATATAAATTTAAAGTATTATATTTTTTTTCTAAATTTTCGGATTTCTTCGATGACAGGATCCATTAGTATGTCGTATCAAAGAAATCAGATAATATTTTTTCTTTTATTTGTTTTGAAACTGTATAATATATATATATATTATTAATTTCATTTATTTGGAGAATGCCTAATAATCATATCCAATTGGTTATCAACATAATCAATGCTTTTTGTTCTTATTGGTTGATTATTTTCAATAACTATTGTAATCGTCCGAAAAAAATAAAAAAATTAACTCCCCCCTTCATAAAAATTTGAGGTTTTGCTGATCACGATACGTAGGATTCGAAAATCGAATACAAATTTTTTAGTCCGTCCGCCGTCCGCTGCTTTTCTCCGAGGTACTGGACTGATTTTTTTTTTTCAAATATGAAATCAATATCAAAGGTCACTCGAGGATGATCCTCCTACCTCGCCATTGGTATCCGCCTTTTCCTTCCAAGATGTTGGCCGAAAAACATGTTTTACTGTAGAATAGCACCTAAACGAATGTACCAATTTCAATGAAACTTGGCTAAAGTCTTCTCCTCGATGACCTTTAAATTTATTTATATAACGTACTTCAAAGAAAAGAAATTGGAAAAAAAAGTTACAAGGGATATTAAAATTACATCTCCGAATAACTCAAGAAGTATATACCTGTTATTAATGTTG